CACTTCTAAGTATTCATACTGCTAATAAATACCGGTAAATACCAGTAATTCTAAGCTTACCAATACGTGTAACACTTATCGATTCTACTTATAAAATTCAGAAAGTAGCTAGGTTGTAAAATTTAGCTTGTCTCAGGTTAAGTGTCTGACATATCCCTCACTACCGCTTTAACTCCTTGCACATCTCGTCTATGCTATTGCTAATCTAATTCGGGGTGATAGTGCAGGAGTGAGTGACAAGTATAACAGTGATCAGGACCAGAACTCAACGGGAAAAGTTAACCGAAGGTAGGGAAATTGCGTTGGGGGAGGTGAGAGCAATGTGGCAGAGTGATGATGAGTGAGAGATAGGCCTTCATAATATTTGTAACTGTAAGTTAGATGTGTATAACCAATATAGTAGATCCCGCGTTCCCAAGTGATTTAGTTTAGACAAGGATAGTTAGCATGTCAATTCAGGAGGTGAAAACTGTGTATGTATGGCATACAACTAGTTGTACTCACCTAGTTGTTGCAGGGCCGGTCACTGCCCGCCTTCCCTTGTTGTATACTATTTCCTTCTCTCTTGCTGTGTAGCTTTATTCACCTCTCACAGCTATGATGGCCGCTCCACATTCGACTGTTACCCAAACTATTCACTTGAAACTCTTTGCGAGAAATACTCTATATCTTGTATTTTGTCTGTTGTCCAGTCTTGTCCCCTTGTTCGTTTGCAAACTCTGAAATCTGTTTGTCCACCGGTCATCCCCTCGTTTTTTTAATCTTTAATGTTCCTCACTCTGTCAGTTGTCCAGTTGATTTCCTTAACCCTTTACTGGACGTTACTGCATCGCTAGTCATTGTCAAAGCTTTGCACTTTCTCTGTGCCTCTCACGTCTGCTAGGTGTGGGTTCCAACCATGTACTACCAATATGTGGTTACGGGTTACAGGGCTGACGTGCCCTATTTAGGTATGGGCGCTATTCTGAGGTTTGCTAGGCGCCCATATGCTGCAGCAGTTTATTGGTTGATTGTGCCTCGGAGTGCTCGGTGTTATCGTCACCCAAGATCTTTTCTCCCTGAGGAGGTTGAGTCTTTGTCCACCTAGCTATCTCCGTCTGCGCTCCTTCTTTTGCCCTCCCCAATCTTCATGACTTTGCATTTGGGGATTTGAATTCGAGAGCCATTTGCTGGACCACATGTCGCAGCCTGTCCAGGTCCCTTTGTAGTTCTGCCTGGTCTTCGATCCCATTTAATTCTTCTCATCAACTTCACATCATCTGTAAAAAGGACACCTCAGAGTCTATTCCTTCCGTCATGTCGTTCACAATATACAAAAACAGCACTGGCCCTAGAACTGACCCCTGCTGGGACCCCGCTGGTCACAGGTGCCCACTCTGACACCTCACCACGTACCATGACTCGTTGCTGCCTCCCTGTCAGGTATTCCCTGATCCACTGCAGTGCCCTCCCTGTTACATGCGCCTGATCCTCCAGCTTCTGCACTAATCTCTTGTGGGGAACTGTGTCAAAGGCCTTCCTGCAGTCTAGGAAAACGCAATCAACCCACTCCTCTCTCTCGTGTCTTACTTCTGTTACCTTGTCATAAAACTCCAGGAGGTTTGTGATACAAGATTTGCCTTCCATGAACCCATGCTGGTTTTCATTTATAATCTTGTTCCGTTCCAGGTGTTCGACCACTCTCCTCCTGATAATCTTCTTCATGACTTTGCACACAATACATATCAGAGACACAGGTCTGTAGTTTAGCGCCTCGTTTCTGTTTCCTTTCTTAAATATGGGGACTACATTTGCTGTCTTCCATTTCTCAGGTAGTTGCCCAGTTTCAAGGGATGTGTTGAAGATTGTGGTTATAGGCACGCATAGCATCTCTGCTTCTTCTCTAAGGACCCATGGGGAGATGTCCGGTCCCATCGCCTTTGAGGTATCAAGGTCACTTAGCAGCTTCTTCACCTCCTCCTTGGTTGTTCGTATGTCATCCAACACTTGGTGGTATATTCCCTCTTGATGTTCCCTTCTGTACTGACTTCCCACAGCCCTTCCTGTCTCTACTGTAAAAACTTCCTTAAATCTCCTGTTTAGCTCCTCACATACCTCCTGGTCATTTCTTGTGAGTTCTCCCCCTTCTGTCCTTAATCTGAACACCTGGTCTTTGACTGTTGTCTTCCTCCTGATGTGGCTATACAACAGTTTCGGGTCAGTCTTGATTTTCGATGCTATGTCATTTTCATACTGTCGCTGGGCCTCCCTCCTTACCTGTGCTTACTCGTTCCTGGCTCTGCGACTGATCTCCCTATTTTCGTGTGTTCTCTGCCTTCTGTACTTTTTCCATTCTCTATTGCACTTTGTTTTTGCCTCCTTACACCGTCGGGTAAACCAGTAGCTCGTTCTGGTCTTCCCGTTGTTTCTGTTGCCCTTGGGAATAAACCTTTCCACTGCCTCCTTGCATTTTGTTGTTACGTATTCCATCATTTCATTTACTGGCTTTCCTGCCAGTTCTCTGTCCCATGGGACCTCCTGCAGGAAGTTCCTCAACCCTATGTAGTCAACTCTTTTATAGTCAGGCTTTTCCTATTCAACTCCTGTTACTCTCTCCACTTGCAGCTCTACTATATATTCAAAGCACAGAACCACGTGGTTGCTAGCTCCTAGGGGACTCTCATACATGATGTCCTCAATGCCTGAACTGCCCAGGGTGTGTGTGTGTGTGTGTGTGTGTGTGTGTGTGTGTGTGTGTGTGTGTGTGTGTGTGTCTGAGTTAATGTGTCAGTGTGTTTAGGGTGTCAGCTGTGATATACTAGCATAATAGGTACCAGTAATTAATTCATACCCTCAAGGTGATAACCACATCACAGTGTAACGCCAGACGACCTCACAGCGTATTGGGGTACATGGTAATTGTCGACGAGTCTGAAAGGCGTGAGATAATTATGTTGATTACTTCACTTAGAGGGCACCAGGTGTATCCCTCTTAATGGTCTGGGCAGGTGGTCAGGGGTGGAGGTAAATGTTCATCTCTGCAGCCTCCAGGAGTGGTCATGAACAGGGGGTGACCTAATTTTGCGTAACATCAGGTTGGAGCCGACAGTAATTAATTCACACTCTCAGGTCACACTCTCTGGTGAACAGTCGTGGGTTATGTTATTTGATCAAACGACTGCCAACATATGTTGAATATACCTGGAGGGTGTTCCTGGGGTCGAAGCCCCCGTGGCCCGGTGCATGACCAGGCCTCGTGGTGGAAAATACCTGGAGAGGGTTTAGGGGGACAACGCCTCCGTGGTCCGGTCTGTGACCAGGCCTTATGGTGAATCAGGACCTGATCAACCAGGCTGTTACTGTTGGCCAAATGCAACCCGACGTACGAACCACATCCCGGCTAGTCAGGTACTGACTTCAGGTGCCTCTCCAGCACATTCATAGTCATAAAATTGGTAAAAACGCATCTGCGTGGGATTTTATGGGTTGGTATATCTAATTAGGAATTAGGTCATAAACACCATGTGAACACTCGAGGGTTACCCGATATTTGGGTCATAACACTCCGTGGTCATAACAAGAAAGTCTCGCCCACCAGATGGATGTGGCTGAAACGAATTAGACATTTAAGGATTTTCACCTCTAATGTTTGTCGGCCCCTGCTGTCAGCACCAGCACGAAGCGCCATTAGAATTAGACATTTAAGGATTTTCACCTCTAATGTTTGTCGGCCCCTGCTGTCAGCACCAGCACGAAGCGCCATTAGAATTAGACATTTAAGGATTTTCACCTCTAATGTTTGTCGGCCCCTGCTGTCAGCACCAGCACGAAGCGCCATTAGAATTAGACATTTAAGGATTTTCACCTCTAATGTTTGTCGGCCCCTGCTGTCAGCACCAGCACGATGCGCCATTACCATCACCATCATCACCACCATCATTACCTACACTATCACCAGCTCCTTACCACCATGTGTGACATTTGAGTTACACCTCTACCATTATCTTCCATCAACACAATTATCATCATTATTTTCATTTCTATTATTATCATTGCTATTATCATTGCAATCATTTTTACAAGCATTCTTATTATCATCATTATTATATTTATTATTATATATAGGAAGCGCTAGACCTGTAGGAGTTTTACAGAGCCACTGGGAGAGAAAAGCATAAGTAGTACAGGTCGAATGTAAGATCAAGAGCCTCTCACCAGTATCAAGGCCCTCTCACCAGTATCAAGGCCCTCTCACCAGCATCAAGGCCCTCTCACCAGCATCAAGGCCCTCTCACCAGTATCAAGGCCCTCTCACCAGCATCAAGGCCCTCTCACCAACATCAAGGCCCTCTCACCAGCATCAAGGCCCTCTCACCAGTATCAAGGACTTTCCTTGACTGGTTGGTGATTTAGTCATCCAAATTTCAATAATGATTTCTTTATCATAAAAATGTACACAGAACGATAATAAGAGTTGAGGACGCTTCGGTTCATTCTTGTTCCTTATCTATAAAAAAATAATGAATTTCTATGCCAAAAATATAGGTGCTTGAAGTGTATATTATAAATTAAGGAAGTAATATTCATTCTCTCACGTGGCATCAGGGAGAATGTTTATAGCAATATTTTATCAACATTCATTATTTTAATTCAAACTGTCCGACTTTAGAATTAAGATTCGTGATGCACCAACCTTGTTGGTTGTTTCTTCCTTGATTTCACCACCGTCACAGAACAGTTTCTGATCACTTATTATAATGTTCAATAAAAAGATTTTACCTTTAAAATGTTTCCTTACAACGGATATATTTGTCTAAATTAATGGAATGTGATAATATGAGATGTAAGAATGAGCGTCAGATAGATTCAAGGCTGTGGAAACATCTAAAGTGAGAAAATTGTGAGAGACGCTAGTAGAATAGCTAAAAAATATAATACTTACGTAAAATAAATTGATAACTAATAAAAATATAGATATGTAGTGACTGTAAATGAGGCTATTAATAGAAGCTAAGACTCACCAAGAATATCTTGCTGGGGAAGCCACTTGCTGATCATCACGTTGTCAGGGACGTCCTCCAGCTCTTCCTCGTATTTCCAGATGACTCGCTGTGGCAGCCTGCGGAAAGCCTGGATGAAGAGGTCGCGGTACTGGACTGGCAATGACGAACTGCGCACAAGAGATCCCAAACTAAAGTAAATTACGCCAGAAGATCCCGCTCCTGTGATCCACGATTCTAATTCCTGTAAAAAAAAGGCGTGCTTTATCATCTTTTAATAAAAGAATTATGCAATGAAAGACAGGTCAGTAGAGCAACACTACAAACCTGAGTCTCTGATGACAGAGCGATTGATCATGGAGAAGACCAGTGATATTGCTCAAGGTGACATAATGGAATGATACAAATATGGATCATGTAGTCAGGACAACTCACCTGAGGCAGAGGGTTGGCGGGACGACAGTGCATGGCCCCCACCTCCACCTGTGAGGGCAGGAGAGGCAGTGGTGTGTTTATAGAAAAGTGACTGTTGAGCAGCGATAAACTCACGTTCCTCTCCAGGTCCAACAACAGTGGCAGCTCCGGGAACTGAGCTGAGATCTGAGGAATACCACCAATACTTTACAGTTGAGCCTGGGAGCAGGTCTGGCATTGCATCAAAATATCAAGATTCTTCTGTAGCTCAAAGTAGCATTAGCCTCCACACACTATAGTTCAATTGTAACTACACTTTTCATGAAACAGAATAATATTGTATAGCTAATTCTACTGGTTTCCTGACGATAATCTGCTGTACCAACCTGGTTTATTGTCTGTGACTACATATTACTCACCTCCTTTTGTATAAGTGGCATAATGGTCCATTTCCTCCAGTAAAGCGCAAATCTAATGTGTAGCACAGTATTGTAGAAGCGATGCCAGATGCTGAAGGGTCTTGGAGGGTCCTGCAAGAAATGAGGAACGTAGGCTGGGTTCGGAACGTTGCCCAGAACCGAGCTCATGCGTGATTCCATCCCTGACGTTGAAACGGTAATGAAGGGAACTTCGTGCAGGAAGGGATATGCAACCTGTGGAAGACCGAGTTCTAGTAACCACAGAACACTGAATTTAACCAACAGTTTCATATACGATTCCAGGATTCTCGTAACCTTCTCATTACACATAACGCGGAGGGAGACAGCATCAGATTTATTATCTTTCGTAATTCCAGGGTTCCTAGTAACATTTCAAAAACTACAAAACAGTCATCAACCAGTCAACCATGTTGAAAATACAAATAACATATTTCTTTTCTGAATTATTCAGGTAATGTAGTTTACATTCAATAAAATATTGTTAGACACAAAGAAAGCCACTAGTATGCGGCGCATTTCTGGAATATGCTGATTGATATGTTCATTATTACTCTAAACACTTAAAGCATGTCAAGAAAAGTGTGTTCACCTTTGTTCCTAGGAACACTGTGTCCATGCACCTCTGGGATTTATGAAACAGAGGCAATTATTGACAAGGTAGTTACAGACTGTTTTCAGTCAAAGAAGATATTGCGACTGACCTGGATTTGAACCCGAGTTGTCTAGTCAGCCTCTCTGGACGCTAGCTAAATTCTCGACACACTCAACAAGTGTCAGGGGCCCGAGACTGTTCAACTGCCTCCCAGCATACTTAAGGGGGATTACCAATAGACCCCTGGCAGTCTTCAAGCTGGCACTGGACAAGCTCCTAAAGTCGGTACTTGACCAGCCGGGCTGTGGCTCGTACGTTAAATTGTGTGCAGCCAGCAGTAACAGCCTGGTTGATCAGGCTCTGATCCACCAGGAGGCCTGGTCACAGACCGGGCCGCGGGGGCATTGACCCCCGGAACTCTCTCCAGGTAAACTCCAGGTAAAACTCGGTTTTCAAAACGTAGTCAGTCACAATGTGTTCTCCGCTTTAAACCACTTGTTCCCATATAAGCATTGAATAGTTTTCAGTATTTATATTCTTAGATTATTAATGTTTTTACTTAAGTTAAGACAATCAGTTATTTATAGAATGTCTCATAGTAATCAGTATAAATATGAATAAGTGCTTATTTTATAATTTAATTAAATAAATTTCCACCTCAGAATCTCTTAACCAATTGAATTAATAACGGTCATTGAAAAACAAAAATTCTTTAAAGCATCAACTGGTCAGAAACTCTTGCGATATTTCAGAAGAGGATCCTAGAACTAGTAGAAACATGTTGATCAATTAGTCTCCTGAGTTTCAGTCTCCATATTGGTTATTATTGACTATTGACAAGTGCTCATAACACTCACACACAAGTCACCAAGAGTTACTGGAAAATATTAGGGATGCAATGACTATGTACAGACGGCACCCAGTTTCACAGAGGGAAAGGGAATGGGAGGAGGAGAGGGAGAGGTTGGTTTTTATTTATGGGCTTCAGGAGAGCATAGGGATGACATTCAATGAAAAAAAAAGCAGAAAGAAAACCAAGAGATTGAAAACATAATCAAAGAAATAGGTGAGGAGGACATGACTGAGATAATAAATTTTCAGAGAATATGGGGGTACTCGAAGGGGAGAAATCCAAATTATTTTCTAACAGAAACAGTGCAGAACAGGATCCTGCAAGGCTGAAGGAATCATCAACATACAAGGTGTTCATAGACTGCGACAGAACAAGAATAGAAAACAGCAGCTGAAGGACAGGCCATAGAAACGAAAGGAGGAGGATAGAGAGGCAATGACAGAGTCAGCAGAGGACAATAAGAACTGGGGAAAGCAACAAGCACAAACACACACAGGACCATCCTAAAAAAATCCAAGTCAAGTACGCTATCCCATTGCAAACCACAATCTGCACTCATATTCCCATCCCCACATTATGCAGTGGAATCCCACAGCACACTCCCCAACCCTCTGAGACACCCCAGAACACATTGGTGAAGAGGAAACTGAAGGAATGGTTCACCAACACTGAAGGAATAACGAATAAGTGGAAGGAGTGGAACGAGAGACTCGAAGAGCCATCACCGAACATCATAGCTCTCACAGTAGCCAAGCTCACAGGAATGATAACAGATACCATCTTTCCAATGGGACATCAGAACCTGGGAAGAGGAAAGGCACTGATCGTCAAAAACTTAAGTGATTATGAGAAATTAGACAGAGGAGACAGAGGAGAAGCAAAAGTCTACGTAATAGGAGCATTTAAGTCTGGAGGTCCCAAAATGATTATTGCAGTGATTTACAACCCCCACACAACAGCAGGAGGCCAAGGCAAGAATATGACGAGAGTAATAAAGCGATGGTTGACATACAGGCTGAAGTGGCCAGAAGGGGTCATTTGAGCAGGACAAAGGTACTGATTGTGGGTGACTTCAATCACAAGGAAATTGACTGGGAGAACCTTGAGTAACATGGGGGGCCAAGAAACCTGGAGGGCTAAGATGATGGAGGTGGTACTGGAAAGCCTCATGTACCAATACATAAGGAACACTGCCAGAGAGCAGAGGACGAAAAAGCAACACTGGATCTAGTATTCACCTTGAATTGTTAATTAAGGTACTAGTCCTTGGTAATTAAGGTACTAGTCCTTGGTAATGAAGGTACTAGTCCTTGGTAAAAAGATACTAGTCCTTGGTAATGAAAATAACCCTCGAAACTATAAACTAGGTGAAGTAGAGCTTGATCATACAGAATGTGAAAAAGACTTGGGAGTCATGTTAACCAGAAACCTGAAGCCAAGACAGCAGTGCCTAAGTGTGCACAACAAGGCTAACAGAATACTTGGATTTATCTCAAGAAATATAAGTAACAGAAGTCCAAAAGTTATTTTACAGCTCTATACATCACTAGTGAGGCCTCATTTAGATTATGCTGCTCAGTTTTGATCTCCTTACTACAGGATGGATATAGACTCATTAGAGAACATACAGAGAAGAATGACTAAAATGATTTACTCTGTAAGGAATCCCCCGTATGAAATACTTAAACCCTTAAATCTCCACCTTCTGGAGAGACGTAGATTGAGTGGGGATATAATTGAAGTGTATAAGCTGATGACGGGCTTAAACAAAGGAGTTATTAATAAAGTACTGAGGGTGTCGAATCACTCGTAATCCCTTCATTAAGGTCATTAATATAAATTATGAACAAGAGAGGGCCTAGAACTGATCCTTGTGAAACGCCACTGGAGTTTACCTGGAGAGAGTTCCGGGGGTAAACGCCCCCGCGGCCCGGTCTGTGACCAGGCCTCCTGGTGGATCAGAGCCTGATCAACCAGGCTGTTACTGCTGGCTGCATGCAATCCAACGTATGAGCCAGAGCCCGGCTGGTCAGGTACCGACTTTAGGTGCTTGTCCAGTGCCTGCTTGAAGAGTGCCAGGGGTCTATTGCTAATATCCCCTTATGTATGCTGGGATGCAGTTGAACAGTCTCGGGCCCCTGACACTTATTGTATTGTCTCTTAACGTGCTAATGACACCCCTGCTTTTCAATGGGGGGATGTTGCATCGTCTGCCGAGTCTTTTGTTTTCGTTGTGAGTGATTCTCGTGTGCAAGTTCGGTACTAGTACCTCTAGGATTTTCCAGGTGTATTTTTTTATTATTAACACACTGGCCGATTCCCGCCAAGGCAGGGTGGCCCGAAAAAGAAAAACTTTCACCATCATTCACTCCATCACTGTCTTGCCAGAAGGGTGCTTTACACTACAGTTTTTAAACTGCAACATTAACACCCCTCCTTCAGAGTGCAGACACTGTACTTCCCATCTCCAGGACTCAAGTCCGGCCTGCCGGTTTCCCTGAATCCCTTCATTAATGTTACTTTGCTCACACTCCAACAGCACATCAAGTATTAAAAACTATTTGTCAACATTCACTCCTATCAAACACGCTCACGCATGCCCGCTAGAAGTCCAAGCCCCTACCACACAAAGCCTCCTTTACCCCCTCCCTCCAACCTTTCCTAGGCCGACCCTTACCCCGCCTTCCTTCCACTACAGACTGATACACTCTTAAAGTCATTCTGTTTTGCTCTATTCTCTCTACATGTCCGAACCACCTAATCAACCCTTCCTCAGCCCACTGGACAACAGTTTTGGCAATCCTGCACTTCCTCCTAACTTCCAAACTACGAATTCTCTGCATTATATTCACACCACATATTGCCCTCAGACATGACATCTCCACTGCCTCCAGCCTTCTCCTCGCTGCAACATTCATCACTCATGCTTCACACCCATACAGGAGCGATAATTGATTCAAACGAAGATGTTATGGAACTTCAGGAGGATTTAAACAAACTATTCTTCGTCAGAAAAGTGGCAGATGCAGTTCAGTGTAGATAAATGCAAGGTTCTGAAGCTCGGGAGTGCCCATAATCCTAGTACTTATAAGTTAAATAATGTAGAACTTAGCCATACAGATTGCGAAAAGGACTTGGGGGTTATGGTGAGCAGCAACCTTAAACCAAGACAGCAATGCCTAAGCGTACGTAATAAGGCAAATAGATTACTGGGATTTATATCAAGAAGTGTAAGCAACAGAAGTCCAGAGGTCATACTGCAGCTTTATACATCATTAGTAAGGCCTCACCTAGATTATGCAGCTCAATTCTGGTCTCCATATTACAGAATGGACATAAATTCGTTAGAAAACATTCAGCGTAGGATGACTAAATTAATACATAGCATTAGAAATCTTCCTTATGAAGAAAGATTGAAGACTCTTAAGTTACATTCACTTGTTAGACGAAGAATGAGGGGAGACCTGATTGAAGTGTTTAAGTGGAAGATAGGTATTAATAAAGGGGATATTAATAAGGTCTTGAGGATATCTCTCCAAGAGAGAACCCGCAGTAATGGATTTAAATTAGATAAGTTTAGATTTAGAAAGGACATAGGAAACTATTGGTTTGGAAATAGGGTAGTTGATGAGTGGAACAGTCTACCTAGTTGGGTTATTGAGGCTAGGACTTTGGGTAGTTTCAAATTTAGGTTGGATAAGTACACGAGTGGGAGTGGTTGGATTTGATTGGGACTTTCACATAGGAGCTTATTTCTTGGGTGGCATTGAAAGTTGGGTTGGGCAGATGTTTTGTTAGTGGGATGAATTGTAAAGGACCTGCCTAGTATGGGCCAACAGGCCTCCTGCAGTGTTCCTCCTTTCTTATGTTCTTATGTTGGTAAAACTATACTCTCATACATTCCCCTCTTTGCTTCCAAGGACAAAGTTCTTTGTCTCCACAGACTCCTAAGTGACCGCTCACCCTTTTCCTCTCATCAATTCTATGATTCACCTCATCTTTCATAGACCCATCCGCTGACACGTCCAATCCCAAATATCTGAATACATTTACCTCCTCCATACTCTCTCCCTCCAGTCTGATATCCAATCTTTCATCACCTAATCTTTCTGTTATCCTCATAACCTTACTCTTTCCTGTATTCACTTTCAATTTTCTTCTTTTACAAACCCTACCAAATTCATCCACCAACCTCTGCAACTTCTCTTCAGAATCACCCAAGAGCACAGTGTCATCAGCAAAGAGCAACTGTGACAACTTCCGCTTTATGTATGATTCTTAATCTTTTAACTCTACGCCTCTTTCCAAGACCCTCGCATTTACTTCTCTTACAACCCCATCTATAAATATATTGAACAACCACGGTATTACAACCCAGGATTCCAAATGGCCTGTTACCCCGGGTGTAATGGGTGCAAAATAAACACAGCAGAAAAAGTTTAGACTTTTATTATCCTTCACCAATTTAGAACAGCAATATGTACACTATGTACAGTGATAAGTATAGTGCACTCCACGGTAAGCAAAGCAGAAATAGAAGCCACAAGATAGCAGACCGTGCTTCAACCAGCTCTAGAATGGGAATGACAAGGGCAGACAGGAGAGCGGTACCCACATAACCTCTGCGATTGCCAAAACCATCTTATTGGCTAGAACCTGGTCACTAGTTGAACGACGGGGCCCCATCATCAACTCTTAGCAACCTGGTTCGCTGGTTGGGGGAGATAGCCTATAAATGAGGGTGTGTACATGCCCCGAATAAAGGTTACGTACTCTTTGCATGCAACACACGGTGACATCACACATCCTTGTCTAAGGCCTACTTTTACTGAGAAATAATCTCCGTCTTTCCTACACACTCTAACTTGAGCCTCACTATCCTCGTAAAAACTCTTCACTGCTTTCAGTAACCTACCTCCTATACCATACACCTGCAACATCTGCCACATTTCCCCCCGATCCACCCTGTCATATGCCTTTTCTAAACCCATAAATGCCACAAAACCCTCTTTACCCTTATCTAAATACTGTTCACCTATATGTTTCACTGTAAACACTTGGTCTACACACCCCTTACCTTTCCTAAAGCCTCCTTGTTCATCTGCTATCCTGCTCTCTGTTTTACTCTTAATTCTTTCAATAATAACTCTTCCATACACTTTACCAGGTATACTCAAGAGACTTATTCCCCTATAATTTTTGCACTCTCTTTTATCCCGTTTGCCTTTATACTATGCATGCTCTCTGCCATTCCCTAGGTACCTAATCTCTTCCATACATTTATTAAATAATAGCACCAAGCACTCCAAAACTATATCCCCTCTTGCTTTTAACATCAATCCCAGCTGCCTTACCCCCTTTCATTTTACCTACTGCCTCACGAACTTCCCCCACACTCACAACTGACTCTTCCTCACTCCTACAAGATGTTATTCCTCCCTGCCCTAAATATGAAATCACAGCTTCCCTATCTTCATCAACATTTAACAATTCCTCAAAATATTCCCTCCATCTTATCAATACTTCTAACTCTCCATTTAATAACTCTCCTCTCCTATTTTTAACTGACAAATCCATTTGTTCTCTAGGCTTCCTCAACTTGTTAATCTCACTCCAAACCTTTTTCTTATTTTCAACAAAATTTGTTGATAACATCTCACCCACTCTCTCATTTGCTATGTTTTTGCATTGCTTCACCACTCTCTTAACCTCTCTTTTTCTCTCCATATACTCTTCCCTCCTTGTATTACTTCTTTGTAAAAACCTCTCATATGCTAACTTTTTATCCCTTACTACTCTCTTTACATCATCATTCCACCAATCGCTCCTCTTCCCTCCTGCACCCACTTTCCTGTAACCACAAACTTCTGCTGAACACTCTAACACTACTTTCTTAAACCTACCCCATAAATGTTCGACCCCATTGCCTATACTCTCACTAGCCCATCTATCCTCCAATAGTTGTTTATATCTTACCCTAACTGCCTCCTGTTTTAGTTTATACACCTTCACCTGTCTCTTACTTGCTGCTTCTATTTTCCTTGTATCTCATCTACCTTTTACTCTCACTGTAGCTATAACTAGAAAGTGATCTGATATATCTGTGGCCCCTCTATAAACATGTACATCCCGAAGTCTACTCAACAGTCTTTTATCTACCTATACATAGTTCAACAAACTACTGTCATTACGCCCTGCATCATATCTTGTATATTTATTTATCCTCTTTTTCTTAAAAGGGCTCAAAGGGCTCCCATCATCATTTACACCTGGCACCCCAAACTTACCTATCACACCCATTCTAAATGTTTCTCCTACTTTAGCATTTAGGTCCCATACCACAATTACTCTCTCACTTGGTTCAAAGGTTCCTATACATTTGCTTAACATCTCTCTCTCTCTCTTTCTTTCTCTCTCTCTCTCTCTCTCTCTCTCTCTCTCTCTCTCTCTCTCTCTCTCTCTCCTCTCTCTCCTCTCTCTCTCTCTCTCTCTTCTCTCCTCTACACTCCTCTCTTCTGCAGGTGTATACACGTTTATTATGACTCACTTTTCACATCTGACCCTTATTTTAATCCACATAATCCTTGAATTTGCACATCTATATTCCCTCTTCTCCATCCATAACTGGTCCTTCAACATTATTGCTATATAATTATATATCAAATAACATTCTGCAAACCTCCGGGGATCAATTTCACTACTGCACCATGCTTCAAATGTTAGATGTGCAGTAACCCAAGCTATCCTCCCTATGGGGTGTAGAAATATGCCTATTTCGATTAATATTATTAGAATTTTCTGGTTGAGTGGTTGCTGCACTCTCCTGGGAGTTGCAGAATTCACTTGCCATGGGTTGAAACACGAACCGTTTATGGATTTAATTATATAACTATCGTGTAATTCAACACATGCACTTAACAAGCTCATTTCAATCAAATTTTCACCCATACACACTCGTGAAATACCATTATTGAACCTTACACTAGCCATGGTCAGTTCCTTTAAATAACATTAACTCACGAGTACTTACCTCGTTGAACATTTGATTAATCACCATAACATCAAATTCCTTCCTTCTTTTATAAAGGTCCTTCACCACGGGGACTTTGTACAACTCCCTAGCAACGGCTGGTAGAACAGTCTCAAAGATTTGCATGGGTCTACTGTGGTTCTTCCTGTTGTGGAAAACGTTAAAATCTTCCTCCCTGAAGTATGGAAGGTCGTGAGGAATATCTTCAATGTTAGGATGTTTGGACGACTTCGGTTGGTTGGTCAACATCACTATCTGGAAATTTAAGTTGAACTCTATATCAAGTTAAGGTTGTAGAAATTTGACGAAAAACAACAAAACCTGATTTAAATTCATCATATTGGAATATTAAACAGAATTTTTCTTATGTTTTGTAAGCAATCTTTCACATTATTTACGTTACTGTTTGCTATTACTGAAGCAATATTTGTTAAGATATTTTCTGTTATACTCTGCCTATGAATCACTTCTCGATTCAATTACTTATGAACTTATTTAGGCTAATTCGGAAATACAACCATAAAACATTTTGGCATTACCTTGTGTCCACGGTCGGCCAGAGCCTCAGCGAGAGGATTGAAGATATTCCTGTGACTCCTGGAGGAGACTGGGAGGAGCATGAGGATCTTATAGGACCTCTCAGGTGGAGACAACTTCCCCATGATGCTTCCCACTAGCATCACCACCAGTACACACGTCGTTGTTGACTTCAT